GGCTTCGGGGCTTAACGCGGCGCGAAACGGGCGCGTCCCGTCGCTTGTGAGGCGTGGGGGCCTGTTCCCCCGGTGTCAGACTAAACAGCCGAAACCTCCGAGCTGACATTTTCGCCTTGCAGAAACTGGCGGAACACGCCTTTTTTTTGGCATCTCTAACTTCTCTGCACCCCTTTCCTGCGTTTTTTTCCCCTCGTGCTGAAAATACGGGAAGGAAAGTCCGCGATCCCCGAGCCAACTTTGAGCAATCCGTACGTGTGCTGAAGCACGCTAAAGAAGTCCAGCCTGGCGTCATCTCTAAAACGTCCATTATGCTGGGGCTAGGCGAGACGGATGAGCAAGTATATGCCACAATGAAATGTAAGTTGGTGTTGGAATATATGCCAAAATTCACAGGTGTGAATTTTACCGTGTTGGAAAACAGACGTAAGCATCTTTGCCTCTACATGCAAATCAGTTTGCTGGTACAGGAGATGTTTTTTAAGCTTTACAGAAAAAAAAAAAAAAAGTTTGGTTAAAAAAGATTGAACTTCTAAAATATTTTGCTTTCATACGGCTTCGGACTTTCAGGTGATTTGACAGGTAGATCCAGCTCCCTTTGATTTCAGTGGAAGTTATAACTATCTTTGTGTGACTATATTAAAAGTCTTATCTTTTACTTTTTTTCTTATCATTACTTAAAACAAACATAGTTGCCTTATTGTGCATTCCGTTTTAGAATTAGCACACCTTACTGTTTAAAATAATTTATTTTGGCTTACTTAGATGCAAAAAAAAGTTATCCTTGGAGTTGTGGCATGTTCTTATGTTTTCGTATAAAAGTATTTTTAAGAGGAGAAAATTTCACAGAGGTAAGTGAACACAGTGTGCTTGTAAAAAGAAATTAATAAATCCTGTGGCATTTCTCCCATGTCCTGAAAGAATGTCTGCCTGGTACTTTATTTTGTGTACAACAACCCATATTTAGAATGCAGTGGTATAGTCTAGTTTTTTTACAGCTGTCCCACAATCCAGATTATAAAATTACAGTTCCTGATTTTTCCCATTCTTCTTGCCTAGCATTTCCTAGTCACAAGAAAATGGAATTTCAGATTTGGTGCTATTTGTTTTCAGGCCACTTTCATGGATGTATTTGGAAACAAACTGTTACCCACCACGTTCACTCAGTTGCTCTGATTTTGTTCCCCTTCCCTCCTCTGGGAAGTTAAAGAGTTAAAGAACGCGTAAATGTGCTGATATTGAACCAGCTTCCCTACAGAACCATATCAATCTAAATCGAGATTCCAAGGTAACAGTGAGTGTAATGCTGCAGTCAACACCATCTTTTCTTCCTATTTGACATGGGGAAACCAGCCCAAGTAGCCAGAAAATATATGCAGATGTTCATGCAAAATCTGATTCCTCAGCCATCCCTTTGTTCAGAATACCCCACTAGCTGCAATGAACATAATCCTTCAGGCGAGCTGACTATCAGGTGTCTGGATTTCCTTCTGTGAGGGGACTGCCTGAACTCATTTGCTGTGTATCGATTCTAGTATATACTCAAATACATATACTCAGACAAAGTTTATGAGATTGTGCAGGCATCAAAACTTACATATATCCTAAGTGTGTAAAACTGGCAAAAGATGTTGGCAGTATCCCTTGATTTCATAGCTCTTTAGAACTCTCCACATCTTTTCAGCGTGAAGACTCTTGATACCGTGGAGAGGTGCCAAGTGTATGTGCATGCATCCGTGTTTTTTTGTCAAATGAAGGCTCTGACCTAAAGACACATTGAAAAGCAGTAAGAAAAAAGACACGAGCACGTCATCTCTGCAGCGAGAGACGTGACTGCAGTGAGTGCAGCACAATGGTCTTCTCTCTAGCTTTAGCTAGCTCAGGTCTTGCAGCTGCGTGGAGCTCAGAACGAGGTACATGGCTACAGATTATGGAGGTTGCAAGTTCCCTTTGCTGGAGAGCAGAATGTAACCCCTGCAGGGTGCTGTGGGGTGACCTTAGGGGTTCTGACCCTGTGGGGTTCAGACTTGGAAGAAGGGTGTTTTCTAATTGCTGACAATTGCTTGTGATCCTTCTGCCACTGACAAGGAATTTTGTTTTTACAGTATTGCGGGAAGCAGATGTAGATTGTTTGACCCTAGGACAGTACATGCAACCAACAAAACGTCACCTGAAGGTAAAAATACCTGTAATTTACAGGCAGTGTTATGGTCTGTACTGTGCGCAGTCAAGTTTCCGCTTTCTAAATTGAGGCCTGATAGGCATCCTTACCTTAACTGAGGATGTTGAGAAAAATTTCCTTCCTTGTTTGACCTGATCTTCATCTGTTCTGGACTCTTCACTAAAAATGACCTGAGCTATCTAATCCTTTGCATCTTCTGCAGGCTTCCCATTGCTGCTTTCTGCTGTCAGCTGGGGAGGCAGCTGGAGCTGAGGCATGATTTTGGAAAACAAGAGCCTCAGTGTATGTCTCAAAAATAATGGCTCAAGCCAGCTCCCCTTCACTGTCTCATAGGCTCTCCCTTAATGGTGCCACTTCAGCTGGGCAAATTACCATTTTCTCCTTCTGTCATCTGTCCAGAGCTCCAGTCTCTGTTCTGTTACTGTGTTTCACTGAAGTAACTGGTAGTGAAGAGATTTGTAGGACTATTGTATTTTGTTTACTAAGTTGGACAAAAAAAGGTTTGCTGGAAAGGACCATTCAAAAACAGTGAAGGAAATGATAAAGCAACAACTAAACTTTTCAGCTAAATATGAAAAGCAAATAAAATGCATTCTTTTGGTAGAAAGCAGACAGAAAGTTCAGTTTGTGGCTTGACTGCTGAAAGTTTTGGAGTGCAAAATCTTGAACTTGCTGTATAACTGTGTTTCATGTCTCTGCCTGCTAGCTATAGCCATTTTCTTTGCATTAATACCCCATTGAAATGAATTCTTTTCGCTCAGGTTGAGGAGTACATAACTCCCGAAAAATTTAAGTACTGGGAAAAAGTAGGAAATGATCTTGGATTCCATTACACTGCTAGTGGGCCTTTAGTGCGCTCCTCCTATAAAGCAGGTAAAGTACTGAAAAACATTAGATTTTTTAGCACATAACATTTTAATATGAAGTTAAAACGGTGAATTAATATGCAACACAGCTCACCTTTGCTCAAGGACACCTCATATAGTTTGGGTTCTTTTTAAAGAATTATTTACTATGTCCTAGAAATAATTAGACATGTTTATGGCAGTGCTTTTTCTGACAAAGCACTGGGTATGAGGTAGCAGCTGATATTAACAGAACTGTTGGGAAGGTCCAAGACCCTGATTTTTCCTAAGGAGAGGGCAGAGAAGACTCATCTGGAGCACTTGGCATCTCAGACTGTTTTAATGCCAGCTCAAAGGAGATTTATAGCAGGCTTCACTATAAGTTGCTGATAATTTATGAAATAGGAATTAATTTTTAATTAAAACAATTCACCTTGCCGGTTGGAAAGCACAAAAAAGCAGAGCTAAGTCATTAAATTGGACATGAGGAAAATCAGGGTTTTGGGGCTGGATAGGTTGTTTGTTGGGTTATGGGGTTTGGTTGTTTTTTGTTTGTTTGCTGTTTTTTTGTTTGTTTTTTTTTTTTTCCTGCTGTATGTATTGAAAGTGCTGTTATATAGAATTTAATTACTGTGAAATACTGGTAAGAACAATTGTATTGTAGAATAGAATACTCATATTAAGTAGTGTGTATTGTTTTGCTTTATTTCATTGAAATACCTACAAATAATTTTGGTGCTTTTTTGCCTTTTAATTAGGTGAATTCTTCTTGAAGAACTTAGTAGAAAAAAGAAAGACAAAAGTCATCTGAAAATGAGAGTGAACCTATTTAAAGCAGCCAGTTTTAAGGATCCTTTTTTTCAGCACATAATTATACTCAGTTCCAGAAATGCAGACCAGATGGTGGATGTATGAATAAACTTACTGTCTGTCCAGAACACTTTTCTCTCACCAAAACACTTCACGTTGTTTTACCTAATTCCTCCTGGCAAGGCTACAACTATATCGTACTTCTCGTGTTCAGCAAAAAGAAGATAGAACTGATTTTGAAAAGAATGATGGAACTGAGGCACAAGAAATGTAAGCTGAAAAAAAAACCCCAACAAACTCAGAGTGAACAGGTTCGATGCTACCATCCGTATTGCTGCAGTTAATACTTGTGAAGATGCTAATAACAGGTAATTCAAAAGGTACTGATATTTTGGTGTACCTTACCATTATGTAACACAAGCTTGCAGGGGCTCTGGGAAGTAGAGGAGTCCTAGAGAAAGATTGTGTACATGACAAGGACCATATTAGGGCTATCAGGAAGCACACCAGAGAAAGTATCTTTAAGACTGTTTCAAGAGATAGTCTCTCTTACTTGCATCTTCAGAAAACAAGCTGTACCACTCTGATAGCGAATGCTTTTCCAGGTGCTTGCATGTCTCAAAGTGTGAGCCTTGATAAACACAAGGTATCAAGTTGAAGAAAACAAGAGCTCTTTGTGGCAGGGCAATTAACCTTCTGTAGATACCATATAATTCAAACCATATGGAAAAATCAGAGTTGCCGTAACAGCAAGAATAGAGCCACCCCTAGTTTGAGAATACAACTGTAACAAACCCAACTGAGGTGCACAGGTGCTTCCTGGGTATTGGGTGTGCAGAACTGCTGCTCTTCTGTACTGTGCTTCTCCTCCACAGGCATCGTCTTGTCATTAAAGGAGAGTTAAAAACCCAGTCTAAGGGTGTGGTGGTTGTGTTTGGTCTGGTTACCTGCTTCCCCGAGACCTGTTCTGGCTGTTAAATGTGAATGGAGAGAAGTGAACCGCGTCATGGATGACATGTGAAATCCATTACATATTCTGCGAAGCTCAAGCAGAAATAAAAGCATGGCTTATGGTATACTGGTAGCTGTAAATTCTTCTCTTTACAGTCAGGATAGTTCAAAGTGCATCTCTTCCTACTAGTTCTTTGTCTGCTATGGACATTAGATACCATTTTTGAACTGGCTTTCTTTGGCTGTATATTCACAAAGCTATTTCTTCACAAGGTTACTTGGGAAGCAAGCCAGGAATTTGCCATCTAGTCCTAAACTCTCATCATGCCGGTAATTCTATGGCTGGCTATAGTACTGTTCTAATGACGTCCGTATGAAGTAGATAAGAAGGGGAGTGGACCCTCCGCCCACCACCTACTCAGCAAGATGTTAGAAGGCAGACAGCTATTTAGCAAGTTGATAGGAGAAAGTTGGTATTAGTCATGAACAACAAAAATCAGATTATACAACTGAGGCCAGTCATGCCCAATTCACGCTTCACAAAATGAAGTATAGCAATATTGAAGCATTATGAAGATAAATAGCCTTAAGCTAGGAGGAATGTACTAATTAAACAGTGTAATGGAAGTGTAAATTAGGGGAAGAGAAACCTAAGGCATGAGGAATAGAGGGGAAAAACAGAGAAACGCAAGTCTTAATAGCTGTACTGCGTTAACAGCAGAAAGACAAGGTTTGTTTGTTAGTTTTTTTTAAATTTAAGAATTTTGAAGTAATAATAAATTTTAAATTTTAAAATTTATTATTACTTTAAGTTAAAAAAAAAAGAATCTGACCACAAGTCTTGGAAAGACCAGGCATACTTGAGCTGAAAATGCCCTGCTTCAGCTGAAGTACACCGAATAGCAGAGCAGGTTATCAACCATGGTAAGGAAATTCAGTACTCCCTCCACAGCAGCAGGCAGGGAGAGGTGCAACATTAACTCCTGGATACCCACACGTTTAACAGCTGCCAGCCATTATTACAGGTCCTACTATAAATAATGGTTTTGACTTGCCTACAGAGCAGATTTAACAATATTATTGTAGCGTTTGCCAAGTTACTGCTCTTTCAGCATATCACCATCAGAAATACGGAAAAAGGAATTCTGAGCCGCACAGCTATTATCAAACTGGGACAAGAGGACACTGCACAGTCATTATCCACAACTTCTTTACAGTGAGAGAAATAATGCTTCTGGAAACAGAGTCCAATGTTTTTTCATGTTACAGTTATTTTTATGAATTGCTGCTGTGTGGTTCGGAAGATGACCTCACTTTTACACACCTGTGCCAACTTGTACAAAGCTTCTGAAGCTACGTAGGCTATTTTCTAACTATGTTTTTCTCTGGTTTGAGGAAAGCAGTCACATTCTTACTTCACAGATGTTTTGTTAAAGTCTTTGAAGTCTGTCACAATTTTACTATAAAAATGACAAGTCTTAAAGTGCTTTTTCTAGTTAAGGCGGCCTGCTTTTACAACCATCTTTCTTCTCTAATGCCCATTCAGTTTTTACATAACAATATGTTAAAGCACCAAACTCTCACAGAACTCCTGGTTATAAATTCAGGACAGGTTTCATGACTATCTGAATTTTGTTTCCAATGAAGTTTCATATTTAGTGACATTTTCTTTTTGTTTGTCAATCACTTCATTCTGTCAGTTTGTTTCACAAAGCAGCCGTAAAATACTTTAACAAACATGAATCTTCCTTGTAATCAGGAAAACATCAAATTGAGTTTTGGGAATATGATTTCAAGTTGACAAAGACACTTTAAAAGAATGAAGTCTCTTTTAGCATCATTACCTCCATCTACTACACTGTATGAAGCATAATTAAATGTTATGCAGCTGGCTAGAGAACTGCTTCCAGTGACTTCAAGTCTTTAGGTGAAATCAACAAAGCCAGAGTGTTCATTTAGTTTTAAATCTTTTTCCTACTCAATTATTAATATCAGCGTCCCCTTAATTTAAAATTAAAATGTCAAGTATTTACACTTCTTAACTACAACATGTGGCAACTTATTGCAGTAGTTCAGCTTGCAATAGAAATTCTCAGCTTGGAATAGAAAAAGCAAGGGATGAAAATTGACACCAGTATTCTCAAAGCAATTATATATAACCCATGATGCTTTCCTGCCTTGTTTTACAATTCATTTCAACCTCTAGTTGTTGAGCAAGATTATAGCATTACTGTAAATTCCAGATCAACAGAAGAACCTCAAGTGATAGATAAAAGCGTGAACTCATTGGCCCACACAAAAGGCTCACCACTAACTGCTCCTATACTGAACAGTCTTGGTCAAAAATGTGTTTGTTCAGTTCATTTGCAATATTCTTGGCTATCATATGCCTGGAACCAAACTAGATTTAGGTGCACAAAGGGCTGAACACACATACACAGAAGAAAACCAGTACATCTTGCCTGGCATTTACAATTTGTAAATGCACGTCTTGGGTGAGAAATTAAACGGTCTGTATCATACAGTTCATAGGCCTGTATTAAAGCTGGATTTGCTTCAGCTGTTGTATTCACATTTTTGCAGTGAAAAGCAGTGTTTATTAAGAACTCCATAAAAAAAGAATTTCAGAGCACAGGAGTCCATTACTCATATTACACAATTCTCATCAAGAATTACATGCTGCAAGATCCCGCAAGCAAAGACTCAATAGCATTAAAACCCAGCTCTTACATGTGCTGCTCAAGCCTTCAAAACAGGAATGCAAGTTATCTCCAATTCTTATTTCCCTGGCAACTGTACTCTGAAGATGATGGCTTATGATTCACTGTGCTGAAAAAGCTTCCAAAGCTCTTCGAAGCTCGATCTCTTAGCCTGTGGTAAGACTCTCTTGCATATATGCAAGGTAAGTAGTTCAGTATCCTGAAGGCATGCTCCACCAGCTGTTCAGACTGGATTCATCCTACAACTCCAGCATCCCACTAAAAGAACGCAGCCACCAATAAACTAAATAAGCTGACTCCCCAAAAAAGCAAGGGAAACACCAGTACCATTTTTACCTCTTGTTGCTCTTCAGAAGTGATCTGCTGCTCCCCCTTTCCTAAGAAAGTCAAGTTAAGAGTGATCCCACTATAATAAACTTGCCCATTCTTTATCATCTTTATGATTAAGCTGCAAGTCACTATCCAGGCTTTGACTAAGTCTGCAGGAGAAGCAGCGTAGAATAGGGGTATAGGACCTAGTTCCTCTGCCTCCTTGAGACAGCATGTGAAAAGCCACCAGAAGCCTCAGGAACACTGACCAGCCATATAGCTCTTGCACATTCCTAACAGGAACAGCACTTTACACAAGAGTGTAATGGTTCATCTGCCTACTTCAAACTGACAAGGACAGGTCCCATCCAGAGGCACTACTATTACAGCTGTGTGCAAGTTTCTGAAAAACATCCTGATTTTCTGAAGCCTCTGCTCACTCTCCATGTTAAGGTGAGCCCTGAAGCAGGGCTGAGCTACCTTGAACATAGTTCAGGACAAGAGATCTTTCAAGCACAACTTGTCAGTATCCCCTTCTTAATCCCCAAGGAGAAGTGACCAGCCTGCCCCTCTCAGGTGTTATGGGGGCAGAGACAGTCAAGAAGATGCCAACCTGCAAGAACAGGGTGATCTACCAGTTCTATTACAGTGCTTACAGAGACCACAACTGTATCACAAGGTTGTCCCTGCTCTGCAGGTGTTGCATGAAAGCAGCGCTGGTGAACTGGGAAGAGAAGATGGCACAATGAAAGACGAGTTTGATTTTAAACCCTGGTAATTCCCACACACTTTAGTGGCTTCCAATCTGCTCCCCACAGAAGAATCTTATGGTAGGACAAAAAGCCTGAGGCGTATTTGCCCAAAGCGCTGAGTGATTACTGCATAGTAAGTCCCTGGAAGTGGAAGCCATTAACTGCAGAATCTGAAAGCATCTGCTTCAAATATACAGCCATTTCAGTCAGATAAGGGTGTCTTGTATTGTCAACCCAAATTGTTGTACAAGCTCCTTAAATCTCCAAGTCTCTGTCCTAAAGCTTAAATTGCGTCTACAGTTTGGTGGGTAAATAGTCACGATACTAGCAGTCATTACCAAGACAACGCCCATCTTACGCTCTGTTTAACTATTGATACAGCATGCTTGAAGGCACACCTGTTGAATAAATTCAGAAGGTATTATGTGACTGGTTACAGGATAATTCTCTAAAACCTCAACACCACTATTAT